TAGTAACACCCATGTCTTATAAAATCTACATGAAATAAAGTTAGAATTTAACAACAATTTTACCCCCAGAAATCCTACACACTCATGAAAACTGAACAGTCAACTACTGGTGTGGGAGAATTGTCTGTATCTGTCAATCATATTTTAATAAAACGCTGATTGGCCAGGCAGGCAGTATAGGTGGGAAAGCCAGACAGGAAGTAGGGGTGGAGCAATGAGAACAGGAGAATTCTGGGAAGCAGGGAGGTTCCTCAGCCACTCCTGCGCAGACCACCGAAGAGGCAGCATGTAATTTGCCCAGCTGAGAAAGGTACGGAGCCATATGCTAACGTAGATAAGGATAATGGGGTAACATAAGTTACAAGGACTAATAAGGAGCCTGACCAAATGGGCCAATCAGTTTATAACCTTATGGAGTCTTGTGAGTGATTTTCTTTGTTGCTTGCCAGCTGTTGGGGTACTGGGAGGGACAGAAACCCCAACAAGCCAGCCCCACATGTTACAAACTACTGAACCACCCCTGCCTGGGTCAAGGAAGCAATAAAGAAAGAAATTAAAGTCTTCCTTGAATTCAATGAAAATAAAGTCACAACATGCTCAAACCTATGGGACACTATGAAAGCAGCGCTAAGAGGAAAGTTCATAGCACTAAGTGCCCACATTACAAAAACAGAGAAAGCTCACATTAGAGACTTAACAGTACAGCTGAAAGCTCTAGAAAAAGAAGAAGCAGACTCACCCTGGAGGAGTAGAAGACTGGAAAAAATCAAACTGAGGGCTGAAATCAACAAAATAGAAACACAGAAAACAATCCAAAGAATCAATGAAACACAAAGCTGGTTTCTGGAGAAAATCAACAAGATTGAAAAACTCCTATTCAAACTAATCAAATGGCAAAGAAAGAGAACACACTAATTAGCAAGATCAGAAATGAAAAGGGGGACATAACAACAGACACAGAGGAAATTCAGAGAATCATTAGATCTTACTACAAAGCCAGTATGTCACAAAATTAGAAAATGTAAAAGAAATGGACATTTTTTTAGATAAGTACCATATACCAAATTTAAATCAAGACCAGGTAAACAATTAAAATAAACTTGTAAATCGTGAGGAATTAGAAGCTGTCATAAAAAACCTTCCTTCCAAAAAATAGTCCAAGACCAGATGGTTTCAATGCAGAATTTTACCAGAACTTCCAAGAAGAGCTAATACCTATACTCCGTAATGTGTTTTACAAAATAGAAATAGAAGAGTCATTGCCAAACTCCTTTTATGAAGCTACAGCTACCATGATACCAAAACCACACCAAGATTCAACCGAGAAAGAGAATTACAGACCAGTCTCACTCATGATCACCGGTGCAAAAATTCTCAATTTAATACTGGCAAACCAAATCCAAGAACACATCCAAAAAATTATCCACTATGATCAAGTACACTTTATCCCAGAAATGCAAGTCTAGTTCAAGATATGAAAATCTATCAATGTAATCCATCATATAAATAAACTGAAAAAAAATATGACCATTTCATTAGATGCAGCAAAAGCATTAGACAAAATTCAATACCCCTTTATGATAAAGGTCTTGAAGAGATAAGGGATACAAAGTTCATACCTATATATACAAAAACCAATATAAAGCAAGCCGACAGCTAACATCAAATTAAATGGAGAGAAACTTAAAGCCATTTCACCAAAATCAGGAACAAGACAAGACTGTCCGCTCTCTCCATACCTCTTCAATATAGTGCTTGAAGTTTGAGCAATAGTGATAAGACAACATAAGGAGATCAAGGGGACTCGAATTGGAAAGAAAGAGGTCAAGCTTTGATTATTTGCAGATGACATGATAGTGTACATAAGCGACCCCAAAAACTCCAACAAAGAAATCCTACAACTGATAAACACCTTTAGTCATGTGGCAGAATACAAGATCAACTCAAAAAATCAGTAGCCCTCCTATACACAAAGGATAAAGAAGAAGAAAGGAAAATCAGAGAAATTTCACTGTTCATGATAGCCACAAATAGCACAAAGTATCTTGGGGTAACTCTAACTAAGGAAGTGACAGACCTATTTGACAAGAACTTTAAGTCTTTGAAGAAAGAATTTGAGGAGGATACCAGAAAATGGAAGGATCTCCCTTGCTCTTGGATTGGGAGGATTAACAGAGTTAAAATGGCAATTCTACCAAAAACAATCTATAGATTCAATGAAATACCCATCAAAATCTCATCAAAATTCTTCACAGATCTTGAGAGAACAATAATCGACTTTATATGGAAAAACAAAAAAAAACCCAGGATAGCCAAGACAATCCTATACCATAAAGGTACTTCTGGAGGCCTTCCCATTCCTTCATTCAAACTCTATTACAGAGCTACAATAATGAAAACAGTATTTGCATAAAAAACATACGTTGACCAATGGAATCAAATTGAAGACGCAGATATTAACCCACACACCTATGAACACCTGATTTTCAACAAAGGAACTAAAATTATACTATGTAAGAAAGAAAGAATGTTCAACAAGTGGTGCTGACATAACTGGATGTCAACCCATAGAAGAATGAAAATAGATCCATATCTATCACCATGCACAAAACTCAAGTCTAAATGGGTTAAAGACCTCAATATAAATCTGATCACACTGAACCTGATAGAAGAGAAAGTGAGTAGTAGACTGTAACACATGGGCACAGGAAACCACTTCCTATGTATAACCTCAGTAGCACAGGCAATAAGAGCAACAATAAATAAATAGGACCTCCTGAAACTGAGAAGCTTCTGTAAAGCAAAGGACATTGTCATGAAGACAAAAAGGCAACCTAATGATTGGGAGAAGATCTTCACCAACCCTGCATCAGACAAAGATCTGATCCCAAAAATATATAAAGAACTCAAGAAACTAGACACTAAAGTTCTAAATAACCCAATTAAAAACTGGGGCACTGAACTGAACAGAGAATTTTCAACAGAAGTTCAAATGGCCAAAAGACACTTAAGGTCATGCTCAACCTCCTTAGCAATCAGGGAAATGCAAATCAAAACAACTGTGAGATACTTTCTTACACCTGTCAGAATGGCTAAAATCAAAAAATACCAATGATGACCTATGCTGGGGAGAATGTGGAGTAAGGGGAACACTCATCCATTGCTGGTGGGAATGCAAACGTGTGCAACCACTTTGGAAATAAGTGTGGTGGTTTCTCAGGAAATTGGGAGTCAACCTACCTCAGGATCCAGCAATCCCACTCTTGATAATACACCCACGAGATGCCCCACTATAGTACAAAAGTATTTCTTCAACTATGTTCATAGCAGTATTATTTGTAATATCTGGAAACAAGCTAGATGCCCCTCAATGGAAGAATGGATAAAGGAAGTGTGGAACATATACACATTGGAGTACTACTCAGTGATAAAAAACAATGACATCTTGAATTTTGCATGCAAATGGATGGAAATAGAAAACACTACCCTGAGTGAAATAACCCAGACCCAAAAAGATGAATATGATATATACTCACTCATTAGTGGATTCTAGCTTTAAACAAAGGACATTGAGACTATTGTTCATCACTCTAGAGAAGCTAAGTAATAAGGTGAACTCAAAGAAAAACAAGATTGCCAGGCAAAAGTTGGGAGCATGGGTGTGGGGAATGTGGGAAGGGGAGAGGTGGAGAGACAGGCAAGTAAGGGAGGGTTAGGGAGAGCTTGGGGGAGTGGGATTGTTGAGATGGAGGAAGGGTGCATATAGGAGCAGGGAAGAAGGTATCTTCATTAAGGGAGTCATTTTAAGGGTTGGCAAGTGACTTGTCTCTACAGGACATCCCAGGTGTCCACTGGGTTGTCCCCTGCTAGGTCCTTGGACAGCAGAGAAGAGAGTGCCTGAACTGGCTTTGTCCCATAGTCACACTGATGAATATCTCAAATATCACCATTTTAAAAATTGGAGTATTCTGCTCCAATCAGTGTTTTCTCTAAATGTTGATTAAAACTGAGACTACATCATAAGGAAGTAGAGTGGGGAAAGCTAATATGCAGGAGTGTTTCTTCCAGAGCAACAGGGGCAGCCGAGCTGCTAGTCTTTTGCGTATGGTGAACACAGGGAACTGTGCATTCATAAGGATAAAAGAATGCATTTTACAGAATTTCCCATAAAGTTGACTCCTTGAGAAATGAAACTAGTAATGAAAAGCAACCATGCAATCTTCTCAAAAATAACTCAAAGCCAACCTTACCCCATCTCAGCCCACCTCTGTCTCCAACAGTATTACATCAAAAAATGTCCTCCAACCATGCACAATATTTTGTGTGAACTTTTGACTGCAGTAAAAAGTGCTTTCCCAGAAAATTGCTGTTTCCCTCTGAACATGGTCCCTCCTTAGAGCAGAGTTTCCCACACAGCTCTGATGATGCAGGAGGATGCAGAGCCCATTTGTTGCTGCAGCCTCATGGCTGCATCCGTGCATTTTCAGCAGCTGCACTGTAGCTGAGGGGCAGCTACTCATCTTTTGTCCCTCAGAGTCAAAATTCCTTTAATCTTAGCCTTCCCTGGGTGCTTGTTTGATGTGGTATTTTCCTATGTATAGCATATCCTAGCAACACTTGTTCATTTCAGAGGACTCAATTCTCATCTTCTGTATCATTCTGGCCTAATTTCTGGGGAGGCTTTATTTCTCATATTTTTTGGTATGGATGTTCAGGAGGGAAAAGGACATTCTTGGGCAGTGTTTATAAAGTGACCATTCAACTCCACATGGGAGAAGTAATGAAAAGATTCTAATGACTCAGAGAAAAACCACTAGCCTTTAAAGGAGGAGGTCCTGTGTCACAGGAGAGAATCCTGGAGAGGAAACCTCAGCTTCTGGTCAGCTCAGGGAAAACCTATTAGCAAGGAGGCAAAGGTTGTGCCCCGTGACATCATCAGTCCCTTCTCTGGAAATTCTATTGGAATCCTGTGATGTCACTAGTGTTGTAGCAACACCAACTGCCCTCAGGACTTTCGTTCAGTTCCTATAGGATTTACCTACAATCATGCTGTCAAGGTTGAGGAGTCTCCTAAGAAGAGAGAGTGGAGATCACGGAGAGACCAGAGTGAGGAAGGAGGAAAATGACCATAGGTCTCACAGGAAAACATGGAGAAATAAATGGTCCTGGGGAAGACGAAGTGAGTTCAGGGAAGGAGAGGGTGAGCTTTCTGGATGTGATGACCTTCAGCTTTCCAGAGCTAGGACTAAGGAAGGGGCTTATCCTGCTTCCCTGAGTGCTGAAATAGCATGCCTAGATAAACAATTTTTGATGGTTAGTGTGAAATGTAAAGCCTGCAGCTGCTTTTCTGGGAGATTCTTAATCTCATTCAGAGTGGGAAAGAAAGGCCAGCAGGAGCAAAGGAGTGAGTGTCCATCTCAGGTTAGGTTGTTGCTACACTTCATCATAGTGGAATCCCTCAGTTTCCATGGGAATCTGATGCTAATAAGAAGGAGGGAAACTCCCCTGGCCATGTACAAAGTCTCAGATATTCAGATGTTTTGGTCCTGGACACATGTGGTAAGGACTTGATGCTGCTAAGCTCTAGGACAAAAGAAGTTACCTGCATTACATCAAATCTGAGGTGACATTGTCACGCAAATCTACAAGGCTGGTCTAGCTTACGTTTTCCAGAGCCAATGGCCTGCTTTAGGGAGTGAGACACATGTCTAGATAATGGCAGTTAGGACAGAGACATAGCACATGGACACAAGTTTGAGGATGACTACTCTGCTCTTTGGGGACTTCACTGGGTGCCTAGAATTCCCTTTAGCTCTGGCTTCTTCTTGGGACACAGTATGGACTCTAATAGTCTTCTGCCATTCTATTATACAAGTTCAATTGTCTTTATTTACATCCAGGGACTACTGGGGAGGCACCATCCAAACTCTCCATCTTCACTGAGCAGGAGCAACAGATGAAAGAAATGGAGGATCTCACCATTCAGCTACAGAGTATAACATATGAGCAAATTGAGCTGGGTGGATTACTGGACAATTGTCATTACAAGGATTTGAACAACAGGTAGTCAGTATGCCCTATTCTCTGTTGAACATCTTGATCCAATAGTGTCAATCCAAGCTTTCCTAAGGAACAGGAGACTGAACCTCAGGGTATATTGGTGCCTAAACTATTTTTGCTGAATGCCTTGAAGAGGCAGAACTTGGAACCTGGGTAGCTGTGGGATGGGGTTGTGTTGTTCTGCTTCTTCCAAATGAAAAGCAGAGTCTGTGACCTGAATAATAGTCTGGGGATAGTAAGGGTTATGGTTGAGCCATCTATATGCATTAAAAGAGTGTTTGACAGGTGTTGGTTTGTGGGATATCCTGTGAGTTTATAGTGAGTCTTTCTACTTTAACCAGCAGATGATTGTGTGCTGAAAACCCAAGTTTGAGCAGCACACCTCTTGGCCACTATGCCTAAATTGGGAAAAATTTTGAATCCCTTGTGGAGTTTCTAAAGCCATCCTGAAGTTGTGACTCTTCCCTGGAAATACTGATTTGTCCTCTGGTCCTCTGTGTAGCAAGAGATGCCCAGGAATGAGAATTTCTGTTCTAAAACAGGAAAAATATTATCATATCATAGGTTCTCAGATATGCAGCACAGACTCCTGGGAACTTCTTAGAGAACTAATCTATAGCTCATCACTCTTGAAAGCTTCATTTGGATACCCTGTCTCTTCTGGTCTAGGAACAGGATCGTTACATTTACTAAGCACCAGGAGGACACAGTGTATAGGTTCCAGGCTGTGGCATCCACTCTGCTGGGGTAGTCCAGGACACAGCCTGATTTAATATGATGCTCGAGTCCTGTGTTCATGGGCTTTTTTTTCTCCTGGGGCCATGCCCTACCACAGGCTGAATTCACTTGAGATGCGGGAAAAGGAGCATAAGCAGGTGATGTTGGACCTGCAGAAATGGCCCATGGAGATCAGTGATACCTTGCACAAGTGCAAGCGGCTGAGAGATGAGAATGAATCCTACAGGTCAGTGACTGATTTAGCTTGGGAGTGATTGATTCTTCTTTGTCTTTGACCCAAAGGGACTGCTCTGTTTCTAGCCTGTCTGCCCCTTAGCATGCAGTCTGTGTCTTAGATACAGTTTTGTTAAATGTGAAAAGACACACTGAACCCCAATAGGTAATGTCCCAGATAGAAGCTCCTACATAGAAAAGTGGTTTATAACATGAAACAGGTCTTTGGCAGAACAGGGCCTCTGGGACTCTGACAGTGGCTTACAGAGCTGATTTCTATGGGTCCCACAGACAGAATTTATTCCTGTTGTAACGTATGCCCTTCTTCAGAAAACGTTTGCCCTCTACCTGTTGATGTTTTCCCAATACCATGAACAGTTAAGCACAGGTAATGATTGCATCCTGTTCTCAGGGGCACAGAATTGCTTTCAGTGTCAGAGTTTTTTAGAAGTAGTTTGAATCTTTCTGGAATTTTATTATTCTCTGTATTTGGCCTGATTCAGAGTGATACTACCTTGACTACTGTGAGTTCCAATCTTGGGCTGTCTGGGGGTCTGGGACTTTCCGGCTGGTAGTAGTTGGAGGTAGGGGTGGCAAATAAAGGCTAGGTGGGGCTCACTATTTTTGGATGGTGGTTCAGTTACCTTCACAGCCTGGTCCAACGAGATTTGACTGAGCTGGAAAACAATGTACATATGTTGAGAGTTGAGAAGAGAAAGATGTGGGAGGAGCAGATTGAACTGCAAGAGTCCTGTGAGGAGGTGAAGAGACTCTTGAAGGAGATCCGTGAGAAGATCTGTGACCCCTGTGTTGTGCAACAGCAGGTAGGCTGAGGGAGTGGGGGCACACTGCCCACAAGTCCAACCATAAACAGAGAGACAGCCATGTAGCCATCCATCCAGACTCCCAGTAACATACCAGTCAATTGTTCATTTCTGTGATCATTCACAAGTATCTCTGGAGAGTTATTTCCTTGAAAGACACTGGATGATTGACAAGCAAACCTCCTGCTCTGGTAGATGCTGTAGTCCACTGAGTGAGATGGATCAGTCACATATCACACACCTACAGGGCATTATGGTCAAAGGGCTGCTATGCAGGGAGCTACATAAGGAATAGAGCAAACTTTTATAGGTCAGCAGTCTCTGACTCATTTGATTTGCAGGGGTCACATGAGATCACAGGTAGGAAACAGCTTGCAAAGAGTAGAGTCCAGGGCCAATGCAAGTGGGTGGTTCTCATTGTCATATTGATATGGGGCAGGAATGTGATCTTCTCCTTTTTTCCTGTATTCCAATGTCTTCTCTTCCCTTTGCTCAACTCTTGGTTCACACTGACAGAAGCCTGAGTAGCAGCTTGTCAACCCTGTTTTCTGTGGTGGGTGTGGAACAGTTCCCCTGCCCTGGAGCTTCCAGTCTGGAGCTGACTGGATGCCCATAGACCCAGGAGGACGTTTACAGGCTGAGGACTGAGGTGACAGAGGGGAGGCTGCAAGAGAACATTTTCTCTAACCACCTCAGCACAGTTTAAGCAAACTGTGTGTGTCCCTAGGAATTTTTAGTCCCCAAGGGATGGACAGCAGTGCTGTGAGTCTCAGTCGCAAAGCCTGGTGTGCATGGTCTAAATTCAACTGTTCAATCAGTGTGTTTTCTTCATTTTTTATGCTCACTCACGTTTTATGTGGCCCTTGTGTGACGTATACATGCGTGTGTAGATGTGTACAATGGCAGGTGTGTTTCCAGGCCAGATCATGACATCTGTTGTTGTTCTCTGCTATTCTTTCCCTTATTCACTTGAGCCCAGACCTTCCAAGGAACATGAAAATTTTTGTTTTTCTTAATATGGCTGGCCAGCACTCTTGTGATCTCCTCTACTATCCAAGGTGGATCGTCTCTCTTGTTTTGTTTCCTCTAATTGTTACAAGTTTCAATAGTTCGGAAAGAGGAGGGATGTTCAAGCTCTCTCTCCATTTTCCATATCTGGTGTTTTGGAATTTAATGTGTTTTGCAATAAATAACAAAATTCAAACAATATGGCTATACTAAAAATGAAAAGATGTCTTTCTTTTCACTGCACAGAGCTAACATCACAGGAAATGTCTGATTGGTTTCACTGGCTTTGCAGCATGGAATCGACAGTGCATCTCCATGCTGAGATTGTGCTGCTGACTATGTTATGGGCATGGCTGTGTTTTAGTATACATTCCCTCTCACAGTTGTACAGAGAGCTGGAATCCAGAAAAATAATGCAGGTGACATCACTAACCTCCTCCTGACTGATATTGGGGATGAAGTCATTTTATGTAAACTGTGACCTGTTCAAAACCTCCTGGCTGTTGACCATGTTTTTTTTCTTTCACTTGAGCTGTCAAGGTTATATGTGGAGAAGTCAGGATAGGTTTAGTGAAGAGACTACGATGGATCAACTTGGAACCTGTAGGATCAGAGAGTCTCAGTAGGGATAAAGTTCATGGAAGGAAAAGTAAATGCAGGGCAGGGTAGCACAACCTGACTGAGTCTAAGAGTCTTGAAAACAGCAGGGAGGGTACACCACCTCCTCCTACAGCAGAAAAGGTTATGAAAGGCAGAAGTTACCTCCCTTGCCATTCTGGGTTTAGATGTGTGTGTGTGTGTGTGTGTGTGTGTGTGTGTGTGTTTTATGCTATGTGATGCATTTCTGTTCATCAGTGTGTGTCTTTGTGTGTGTGTGTGCCTGTATGTGTATGCTGAATGGTGTCAGGCTGTGGTGTGAGAATGGGGCAGCCTCAGTGCACCACAGTTAGGCTCATGACCGTCTAAAGCAATCAATCACCTTGTGTTATATCTGTAGAACTCAGCAACTGCTTTTACTCAAATTGTTCACTGTGTTGAGATAAAATCAGCTCATGGAGGGTTGGGAGAAATGAGGACTCACAGAGAGTGCTGGAGGTGTAAAATGATGTAGTGCACTGAGTAGCCACACATAATTCTTCATATAGTTAATCCACACATAATTCTTCATATAGCTAACTCCAGTCCCTAAGTGACCCAGTGAGTCTAGAACATGAAGTAGGTGCTCACAGAGAAGCTAGGGGACAGCAGGGTTGTAGAAGCATTCCTTAGAGTAGCCTCAAAGTAGAAACTATCCAGATGTCCATCATTCGAAGAGGGAATAGTGTAATGTGGTTGAGCCCTTGTGTGTCTGTTCTTCAACATGAAAGCATTTGACCCTGACTTAGTGAGCCTTTTGTTACTCAAACAAATCTCTGACACAATCACCTTACAGAGAGGTTTTGCACTTTTTGATTACTGGGTGGGAAGATTTTCTAGTTTCCTGAGCTCCTTGCTTTGGGTCCGAAGTGAGACAGCCTGTGGTAAAGGGAGCTCCTGTTGGAGGAAGCTGCTCAACTTAGGGACAAGTAGGATGCAGTGAATAAGACCAGTGGGCTGGTCCACCATCATCCTGTGGTTCTGTACTGGAGAAAGTTTCTGTACTTCACAGACCGGGGAACTTCCTAAGCAGGGTTGGCTATCAGGCCAGGACTCCAGATGATCATCTGTCCATGCATTAGATTTACAGGATAGGCACTTCAATGATTGTGCTGCCTCTCTCATGCCCACTGCGTTCTCTCATCCAGCAGAGCTTAACCTTCTTCTCAAAAGAATTCTTGGTGATTGTTCCTTTTATTAGCATTAACTGCTAAACTAAACATGTCACTGCATTACATTGTGCTTGTTTGTGTGCGTGCAAGTGCTTTGTTTACTCATGAGTTTATGTGTGTGCCTGTGTGAGTGAGCAACCCTTCACTGAGAACACAATCTTCTAATGAAAAGGAGGAAGAAAGCCTGGATAGAGTGAAGAACCTGGGAAAGCAGAAGGAGCTGATCACCCAGGAAAGGGACTTGCCAGAAAAGCCATACAATCACGTCAATATCTCTGAGATGAGGTAAGAATCCAAGCTAGGAGGAGCAGTTAGAACCATATAGTTCACCAGTTCATAGATCTCTGTTACTTTTAGAATTCTTCCCTATCTGTATGTCTCTTAGCCACAGTCAGGGAAAGAACACCTTAGGTTATTGTGCTGGTCCATTCAACAAGAACTTTGTAAGGAAACACTATGCTCTATCCTTAGTGTTTCTGGGAACTGTCCACGCCTTATTCCTTTCTGAGCTCTCTGGTATCTTCTCAGTACCTTGTCTCCTAAGTCTCTCCACAAATCTCTCCATGGTAGTCCTATACCTAGAAAGAGGAGAGTTAGTTGTGGAGGACACTGTGTGCTCCTGCCACTTTATTTTCCTTCCAGAACATCACATTTAGAGAGAAGTTCCTGCCTCTGGGCAGATCTGCATGCAACACACTCCTGCTCATTTAAGGCTCTCTGTGAGGTGTATTGATTTCCTGTGAAAACACTTTTCTGGCTATAAGAAGATTTATTGATTGAGTAGTTGAACTCAGACAGGTTTCTGTGCTGTAAATTGCAACTTTCAGTGCTTTTATTTTATAGGTTCCCCTAGAGGGTCTACATTCAGTTTCTCAGGTTGCTCACACCCACCTGGTATCTAATCAAGGCAATTCTGATCTGTCCTGAACTGTTACTCAGACATTGCTACACTGTGATTTTTTTCTCAAATAGTATATCTAGGCCACTGGAGAAATGTGCTGTCTTTTCTTGCCCAGCACAGTGTCATTCTCAGTTCATCTGTAGTATATTTAAAAGTTGAGAAAAAATCCACAGTCAGGTGCACTCTGAACCATCTCCCTCACAGAATGCAAGCAATGACCTCAGCTAAAAGGTCATGTTTGATTGTCCGGCTGTGCAGCGCTTGTTCGGGCTAAAAAGTTAACATAACAGGTCCCCACCAGGCCTGTTCCCTAACTGCCTTTCTTCTTTAGGTCAGAAAATCTCCAATCTGAGTTAGAACAGGCCACAGCACAGGATGAGAGCCTCCTGCCAACAGAGCTGTTGCAGCAAGAGGACTAAGTCATAAAGGCAAGTGAGCCACCAAAGCGTCCCACCCCATCAAACATGGCATTGGTAGGGGACTGAGGACTCTTGACCTTGGCTTCCAGTGTAAATAGGCCCTGACTTTTTTATAGCCATGGCCCAGTGAGGCTACTTATTGGTCTGATTGCCTTTCTTTCTCACACAGCAGATCTTGAGAGAGGTGAGGAGGCTAAAGGAATTACAGATGTTTTGAACACTTGGCATTCTACACCCTAGAATCAAGGCCTCCTCAGAAGAAAACACCTCGTTATAGCTAGGAATTCGCCAGTGAGGCAAATACCAGCTGACTCCCAGATGATCCAACTTCAATCAAATCCTTAGCTCTGTTGACACCAGTACTACTGAAGAAAAGAAAGCATCAAAAATGAGCTTCAAATACAGAAAACTTTAGACAAGATCAATTAGACCCTGACATTCAACATCTAGTGGCCCCTGTGAGGGGCACAACAACATGGACTGTAGAGATGGTGGAATGGATATTCCTCAGTTTCATAGCCTGGACAGAAGTGATCCGTCCTGAGGAAGGATTTATAGAAGACATCTGGGGCATTTTTTATGTCCTTGGGCACACTCAGATGCTGTCCACAGATTTGTTGGGTCTCTAGTAATCACAGGTGTCTGGTGACTGAAAGAATCAATAACTGGCCAAGACATTGCTGGATTGACCATGGGTGATAATTTATCAAGAGCTTCCTGTAGGTCCACAAAGAATGCCCTCAGAACGTCTCAAACTTACTCTTGGTGAGAGCTTGGCCTGCAAAGCCCTACGGAGGCCCAGACATAATAATTTGAAAAGGTTTTTTACAATGAGTCACTGCCTGCTACCATGTTTCCATGGCCAGCCGCAGGCTGTAGGTCTGTGTTGCTAAATCTGCAGCAAGAGAATGCTGCTAGGTGAATTTTTCTGGTTTGGTTTTTGGTTGGGTTTTATTACTTTTTTCTTTTATTTGTTATGTTTTGATATTTGAATATTAAATTGTTCTTTTTTGTTCTTGTTGTTTTAGTATTTTTCTAAGGTTATTCACTGTTTATATTGATTGCCTCCTTTAAGCACCTATTGAGTAAATTGTTTTGCATTTTTAATAATAAATATTGACTCCCACTCTCTTTTAAAGCAATTTCTTTGGTCAGGTGTGGTGTCTCACTACAGTAGCCTCAGAATCTTCTGTAAGACCACAACTCTTGTGTGCCCAGGTTGGGCTAAATAGTGATTTCCCAACCTGCCAGTTACACAGGGCTTTGAATGTGGGTGGTGTTGCCAATTCCATGGATGTCCATTGCATGATGAATAAAAGTATCCATACTGTATCTTTGTCATCATATATGTAGCTATCCCTAAAATAGCATTCTGTATACACATTCCATGAAATGATCATGAGTACTAAATTAATGAGAAACCCAACAGTGTTGCTCTAAAGCCTCTGGGGAAATGAAAACATTTACTAAGGGAGCATGAAAGAAATCAATGGCCTGTTTGCCACCTGGGGTTGTGATGATGTCATTGCCTGGGATGCTGCCCAGGGCCATGTCCTGTCCATGGCCCTGACACTGATGTGGGGATCTATTTTAATGTCCATGACTCCTCTTACCAGTGATGGTCTTGCAGAGACCTGCCATCTAGAACAATAACTGCAGCTGGGCAGGGTCTCTTGCTACGGGATATGTCTGAATTCATGACCCTTCTGCCACAAGTGTCTGTGTTGAAGTCTCAGCCTTCTGTTGCCATCACGTCCAGGAAAGATGCCTGCAATCTGGGCCAAAACCTGGGGACACGGTGCTGTTAGCTTCACACTGAACTCAGTGACGTGCTCTGCCAGCCAAGGCCATGGTAAATTCAGGCCTGGACTGCAGCCTAGGATCATGTCTGGGGCCATGTTGCAAACACAGCCAGAATCATTCATTTTAATGGCCTGTGGTGCTGCCAAGGGCCACATAGAAGTAGGAAGGAGTCAGGGCCACCACTTAGAACCATGTTAGTTTCTAAGGGCTCTGATTCTTCTGGGGCCATACAGATCTGAGTGGCCAGTGCTGCCACCAGGGTCCCTGGTTTCCTCTGCATAGCTGATGTCAAAGGCCATGTTGGGATCCATTGCCCTACCATAGCCTTGGTCTATGTTGACATATTGGCTCCTGTTATCACTGAAACAGGATGGGAAAATGCAGAGTTATCTCTACCCTTCACAGTCTGCATCACTCAGCAGAGTAGGTCCTGAAACTGGGCTGAGCTGCACAGTAAAGCTGACCCTGTTAACAACAGTGCAGGTGAGCTGTCTCTGAGGGTATGGGAGCAGAAAATACGATTCTACCCTGTTTCTTCTACCTTGTGTTGGCAAGGATGAGAAAAAGGTGCCTATCCTACCTAAATGTAAGCCACCTTAACTAATGGGAGAGTTGGCCTCTGGGGCATAAGAACAGAAGATCTATGACAGCCTCTCATCAACTGTAGCAATTTGATTGTGAACTTGGCACTTCACCTCTGTAACACTGTAGAGATGCCTTAGGTTAGGTAAGTTAGATAGCAGAGCACAAGAACAGAAGAATTGGTGTCTCTCCTTTCTGCCTGCTGCATTGGGTGAACATATGAATATACATGATTATTACTAATTGTGGTAAGACATGTAAATTTTATTGTTCACTACAAAAAAAATTCCCCCAAAAACCCAACAAAGAAACCTGATCCCAATGTACTCAGATTCACAAAGCAGTATGTCCAACTGTCTTTTCTAGCAAAGAAAGACTCTGGAACTTTGGCAAACAGTGATATCTAAGACATGTGTAAAGAATTACAATCTGGGGACATCTCCTTGGACCTTGGAACCCCTCTAGAGTCAAGTCTCTTGCTAACCCTAAAATGGCTCCCTTAATTAAGATATTTACTCCCCTGCTCCCATATACACCCTTCCTCCATCCCACCCATCCCATTCCCCCAAGCTCTTCTCAATTCTCCCCTTCTTCGTTGGGCAGCAGAGGAGAGGGTGCCTGAACTGGCCTTGTCCCATAACCACACTATTGAATATCTTGCATATCACCAAAGAACCTTCATTTGGTGATGGATGGAGATAGAGACAGAGACCCACATTGGAGCAGTGGACTGAGCTCCCAAGGTCCAAATGAGGAACAGATGAAAGGAGAACATGAGGAAGGTAGTCAGGACCATGTGCGTCCACCCACTGAGATGGTGGGACTGATCTAATGGGAGCTCACCAAGGTCAGCAGTACTGGGAGTGATGGAGCATGTGATCAAACTGGACTCTCTGAATGTGGCTGTCAATGAGGGCTGACTGAGAAGCCAAGGACAATGGCACTGGGTTTTAGTTCTACTGCAAGTAGTGGCTTTGTGGGAGCCTGGTTTGTTTGGATGCTCACCTTCCTAGACCTGGATGGAGGGGGCAGTGAACCATAACTGCTCTTAGGACTGGAGGGGGAGAGGGGGAGCCGGGGGAGGGGGAAAGGAAATGAGAGGTGGGGAGGAGGTGGAAATTTTTAATAAATTTTGAAAAGAATTACAATAGAATTATTTCATGAAATAGAAAAGAAAACATCCTCTAGAACTAATGAGAGTGTTTGCAGGGAGTTGTGACTGAGAAGGGAGCCACCCTAAGTGTGTGTGACAGCAGCCTGTGTTTTGGGGTCACTGGCTGAATTAAAAAGGAGAAAGCTACCTGAATATCATACTTTATTTCTCGCGGCATCCTATCTGCAGATTTACTGTTGCCAGCCGCCTCATACTCTCCCTCCATGCCTTCCACACCATAACATATTCTACTGTCAAACTGTGAAACAAAGTAAACCCCTTTCCTTGAAAGGGGGGAGGGGAATTTTTAATCTTAACTTGTGGAGTTAAGTATGTATTGTGTGTCTCATCACTGCTCAGACTTGCTGGTTCCACAATCCCTGTACCGCCTTACAAGGACATCCCAGGAAGACTTCAGGGAGCTTTACTTCAAGTGGTGTGATGGCAGAGAATTGCAGTACCACAAGCATCCTGTGTGCTTTGGAAACCATACACAACTCTGTTATATGGGGAAAAGGAGAAGCCGCAATTTCATGTCAGTGTTCAAAATGCACCCTTTTGTAAGTGTCTTCCATGGGTCTCTAGCCCTACCAGATTTTGAAAAGTCTTAATTTTTTTCTTTTCTCTTTATTTCTTGTTTCTGTGTTTGTTGTTTGTTTGGTTGGTTTTTGTTTGTTGGTGGTGGTGTTCAAACTGTTTGATTGCATGGAATTTTTAAGATAAGATCTGTTACTATAGCCTAGGCTGGCTTGGAACTCACTCTATGTGACCCAGGGTAATCTCAGACTTGTGGTAGTCCTGCTTTGCCTTTCTAGTTCTGGTAGTCAGACATCATGCCTTGCTAAGTAGCCTTAATCCTTAACAATCAAGAAAGAGGTTGACCTTCCTATATTATCATTGACATCTCACTGTTTGCCTTACATTTGTTTGCCACTTTTACATTATCATCCTATAATACCAAAAAAATCTCTCAGAATCTCTGCTTATCCAAACCATTCTCAATGACTGGACCACTGTAATTATAGGAAAGTTGTCAATTTTCTCAGACTTAGGCTACTAAGTGCCTACTAAATTTAGTCTAGACTAAAGGAACTAACAGATAAGCTTTTTTGGTAAGTGAATCATGCAGGGATGTAGATAATCGGAAACCACTAGACTCAGACATTCATTCTTGAGTGATATGGAGTCATGTGCAATGTGTTAGGCTCTCTGATAAACACACAGAGCAGGAAAAGTTGCCTTTCTGTGAATGAGAAGCAAATAGTTGCCATGACTCCTATTATAAGCTGTGCTTCAACCATCTTGGTCCCAGGCACTTGGAAGAAGAGATTAAACTGGAAATGGACAATGCAAATGGATGGAAATAGAAATCGCTTTACTGAGTGAGGTAACCCAGACCCAAAAAGAGGAATATGGTATGTACTCATAAGTGGATTCTAGCCATTGTTAAAGGTCTTTGAGT